GCAAGAATATGTATATGTGAACATGTGTTATGAGATAAGAATCATAACTATGAGCTATGTGAAAAAGAATATAAGTAAAAGTGGAAAGTTATGTGATAAGTGAATGTGAATTACATGGAAATATGTTATATGAAAGTGAAATATGTGTCTACGTGAATATGTAAAAAGATGAATAATAATGCCCATGTTATATAATAAGAGAGCTATAGGTATAGTTGCCATGCCAGAAGTCGAGAGTCTACATGGTCCTTCGGGACATAATGGTCCTTCGGGACATAGTGGTCCTTCGGGACATAATGGTCCTTCGGGACACAGTGGTCCTTCGGGACATAGTGGTCCTACGGGACAAATTCTACGCGCCCCTAGTGGGATTTATACGAGCTGTGGTGACAGCATTGTGCACAACCTCTATGTACTCACATACCTTAAGTTCTCAGTAGTGTGCATGGGCTAATCAAAAAGGATAACAATAAAATGTGAGTTGTAATGAGAAATGTGTTACATGTTTTATATGAGGATATATGTGAATGTGAGTATGTGTTACAAGAAAGAATATATGTTATGGGTTATGGTATTTGATATGTGATGTACATAAATATATGTTAATATATATATATGAATGAATATCAATGACTCATATGATGATGTAAGAACATGTTATAAGATATAGAATATGAAAATAAGAGATCATATGAACAAGAGATAAGAGATAGAAAGGATAATCATATAAGAGTATGAGGAAATATAAATGATGACATGCAGGTGTGTATGTAATTGTTACATGAAAAAGTATGTATACAAGTATGACGTTGTATGACATGATATGTACATGCATTTAATAATTTACATATGGATTTATATATCTCACTAAGTCTATGACTTAGCGTGTGAGTGTTTCATACATAGGTTCAGGAAAGAATGAAGAGGAGCTATGAGGAGCAAGACAGGTTAGTTTCTCCTTACTGAAGGTCATATCAGAACATAAATGAATAACATGTATTTTGTTATATAGAACCTAGTTAGCATGTAGTTAAAAGATTTGTATTAGATACACTCTGATCAGTTTTGTAAAACCATATGTTTTATATCATAGGAAGTAAATGGTTTTATTAGAACTATCAAACTTAATCTTGGGTATTTTGTAAAAGTAAATGTTTTGAGAAGTCAATGTGACACCTCAGACTCGTATCCGGGTCAGGTACGGGTTGGGGGTGTTATATATTTCGTCTATGGGGTCCGTAAATCTAGTCGTTCGACCTTGCCCACAGCCAGGTCGACGACCACGTCTAGTACACATCTTGGTAGATCTTAAGCTTCACTACAAAAGGATAAAACCTAGGATTATATTAGCACTTGCAGGTAAAAACTTGGTAACATGGCCTTCGTGACTTATTTTGTAAAACATCTTAAAATCGTATTTTTAGTTTGGACCCATTCACAGTATGAGGTTTTAAAAACTTAAAGCTCTGATATCAACTAAATATAACCCCTAGACCTGCCCTATGTGTTACGACCAGATCTGGTGGACTACAATAAAAATTTCCAAAACATTTTTCAATAACATAAAATCTTTTTTTTGAATAAACATCTCTAAAAGTATAGTTGATAATATTAAAAATTTAATACCAGTAAATTAAAGTCATCGTACGGGTTGAGTAAAATAAAATATTTTGTAATCAGTTTCGAAGTAAATATAACATCAGTATCAAAGCGGTATAAGTCGTAAAACAAATATTTCCAAAATATAAACACATTGTCACCCAAAATAAATGCAACTCAAAAGATAAAAACATTACAACAAAAGGGTATTGTATGAATGTGTCAATCGTCCAAGTGTCAGGTTTGGATCGCCTATCGAAAAGTATCTGAAAGTAAAAGTTTGGGGGAGTGAGCTAGGGAGCTCAGTGTGTTCCATCTATGTAGAAAAAAAAACATATAGTTAAGATTTCAAAATCAGTTCATCATTAAAGTCATGAAACATCAGTAGAGTTTTCAAAATAAGTTCAGTTCCAAATTGTGAAAACGTCAGTAGTGTTTTTAGCTTAAAATACAGAATTACCCTCCAACCGAACACCATATGCAATTCCCCAAAAATGCATCCATAAGAACTTGCCCTAGGCCCAAAGGGCGTATATGTCAACCTAAGAGAGCACCTTGGGTTCATAAGGTCTTACCCTAGCCGAAGCGTATGTGCCAACCTAAGAGAGCACCTTGGGTACATAAGGTCTTACCCTAGCCGAAGTATAGGTGCCTACTTGAGGGGTGTGCCCTCAGGCCCACAAGGACTTACCCAAATCACATAGCAAAGGAATCACCCTAAAGGAGTACCTTAGGGTCCATAAGGTCTTACCACTACACCCATTGGGGCCAGGAGCCCACCCAAGGGTCGCCTTAGGCCTATAAGGAATCACCAACTGATCGGTGCTGAACCTATATAAGGAATTACTAGCTTGATTAGAGTTGAACCTGTAGAGACTTCATACCAGATCCCAGAGTGCCCCGAAGAAAATGTTTTTCAGGCAAAAACTAGTGGTAGAAGGAAAATCAAAGTTGTTTTTTACTACCGAAAAACTTGTATTTGAAATTGAAAAATATAATGGCAAAGTTTTGATGGCAGAAATCAACAAACAAAAGAGGTATAAATTGGTGTACTTGGGAGAGTTTTAGTCAATTAAAGGAGAATAAAGGGCATGGTTTTAGGGACATTACAAAATTCAACACCGCTCTTTTAGCAAAACAAGGTTGGCGTTTGTTTTCCAACCCAACATCATCAGTAGGGCGTTTACTCCGAGCTAAATATTTACCTTCGAGCGATTTTTCAAACTCGCGCCTAGGTGCTTCCCCATCTTATATTTGGCGGAGTCTTTGGTGTGTGAAAGGTCTCTTGCAAATGAGATTGAGATGGAAGGTTGTTTGGAATGATTTTTTACTCCCATACAACCGGCCACAATGTGTTGTTTCTGCTCGTGATCACTCAGTAGAGTTAGTGGTAGACTTGATCGATGACGTTTCAAAAACATGGAGGATTGATATGATAAATGGATTGTTTACGGCAGTTGAGGCGAATGTGATTCTTGGTGTTCCTATTTCGAGTTTCGATCAAAAGGATTGTCTTGTCTGGAACAGAGAGAAGATTGGTGTGTACAATGTTAGGACCAGTTATCGAATGTTACTTGATCGGGTTGTAATCTCCCAATGAGAAAAAGCAGTTCTAAATTGCATATGGGCTTGCTTTTGTAAAAACACAAAATCCAGTTACAAGCTTAGAGATTTGTTAAGAACGATATCCCGTTGAAACACAACCTTTACACCAAACGTCTTATTAATAATTTAATCTGCCCAACATGCAATAATCCTAGGGAGTCAGGGGTGCACATCATTCGTGATTGTCGGTTAGCTATTTTACTCTAGCCAACTTTGAATTTTCAATGGCTGATTCAATTACCTAATACTCACTTGGTTGATTGGTTAGACTGGTTATTTTCTAACTACGCTACTATTCGTCATCCAGAGATTTTATACACCATTTGGGCTTTGTGGTTAGCATGCAACAAAAGATACCATGAAGGTAAACAGATTAGAGTGGAAGAATCGTTTACTATGGTTAAATCCCAATGCCATGATTTACTCAACGCCAATATGAGTCCTATTGGCTTGGCTCGGTCACCTTCTACCCGCTGGAAGATCCTATCCTCTCTGTTTGAGAAGGCGAACTTCGATGCTTGTTTCTCGTAAAATCAAAACCAAGCTTGGTCAGGAGTTATAATTAGAAACAATGAAGGGTACATCATGGGTGCTTGTCGTCGAGTGGGTCAAAGGATTACCTCGACTTTCATGGCGGAAGCTATGGCAGCGTTGCAAGCAGTACAATTTGCCTTTGAAATGGGTTTCCGTAGGAATGACAACGTGGCGGGTTTTTCTCCCCCGTCCCCGTCTCCGAAATAAAAAAAAATCTTTAATTGTAAACTTATCAAGTAACCTCAATGGTTGAAGAGAGTATTATTTTTTAAAAAATATTATATTTAAATAATTATATTTATAAAGTGTATGTACATCATCAATAATTATTGACAACGAATATCAATATTTGTAAAGTATAGGTATATTATCAATAATTATCGACAACAAATATCAGTACGTAGAAGCTTTTTGGAAAATTAGAACAGAAAATATTTCGAGTTTTGGGGCTTCTAGCATTTGCCCCCTGTTTTATACGGAACATGGGCTCATAATCCCTCTTTCATCAATGAAAGTTATTTTGAAAAACAAAATCAAAAAATATTTTTACAATGATAAAATATTAATGATATCCAAATATATTTAAATATACAGTCATCTTCTATACAACATTTATTACACAAATAATATATATATATATATATATATATATATATATTATTCGTGCATTAATGTTTCAAAATATATAAGTGGTTATAATATTATAACAAAATATATCAACTCGAATTTTGTAATGAAATCATTTCTGGTGGTTACAGTAGGCATAAAAAATGAGGACAAAGACAGCAGCAGCATAGGATAGATAGAGATCAAAGTTGTAGTCGGAAGGCATATATGAATGAATAATTGATTCTTCCAGCAACCATTCACCTTCATTTCACAGTGTCTGTCTGCATCCCTTACCAATAAAAACAAGTTGTCTATATCACAAACAACTCACTATTATTGGCCCTGTAATTCCTTAAAAGATCTGTATACATTTTCCAATTAAATTTGCACATTTTATCTCCATCTCAGCCTCCATCTTGTGCAATGACTAACCCTGGAAGGAAAACATGAATTTCCCAAAATATCATCACCCACCTAATGCTAGTTAGAACTTGAAATCAAGCACCGTATATAGGTTACCAGCAAAGATTGAGCAAATGTTCATGTCAGATTGAGCAAAGATTGGCAAACAATTTTGAGAGGAAGAGAATCATAGAAAGAATTTTCAGTTGAATTTAATAAAGGAAATAGGATTGCAATAACAAGTTGATTGATGCATATATAACTTATATAATGTGTATAGTAACCCTCCAAAAAATGTCATGATCAACTTACAAATACTAGTCACAACAGCATGAAACTTGGAGATTAATAAGTAAAAAAATGAAGGTATTAACACAAGGCCAGAGAATCATGGTCTTCAACCTCCGACTGTGACTTGACGGGGCATTATATCAGCGTTGGCCAAACTTGGAATTGGTCCGCTGTTCTGAGTAGGGTTTATTTCTTCTGCTATAGCTACGGATTCCTCAGATTGGGAAATGTTGATGGGATCGTTCTGGTTTTCTTCAGGCTTCCCAACACAAGCATCCTGCACAGGGTTCTCCGCCTTCTTTGTTTTCGGTTTTGACTTTCCAAGCTTTTCTTCGGATTTGGTGGTCTCCTTGGGTTGAAGCTTAGGTTGGGGTTTCTTTACAGTCTTCTTGGAAGCAACACTATCTTCATTACCATTGGTTTGAGTTCTTTTGGTTGAATCGTTGCATTCTTGGTTCAAGGATGGGCTAATACCAGAACCATCACCTTCTGAAGGGTTGTTTGTTGGAGCAGCGCCGCTCTTGTTCCTTCCGAGCTTTGGGGATATTGCACGCGTAGTTGGTATCTGTGACGATTACAGAAGATATCAGATAATTAGAGTACAGATGAGATACCACAATAAATTCTAAGAGTCTACCAATGAGTACATTTGCCTATTATTCAGGTTATCTTCCCATGTCACTGCATGATAATACTCTAGATTTGTAGTCATCTATTAGATAATTTCAAAAAGAAAATGCATCATTTTTACCGTATTGTCGAGGATAAGTAGAAGCACAAAATCTTAATCTGACTAAATGTCTCGATCACCTTATAATCCTAAAGCATTATTAACGTGAATCAAACACAAAGCCTTTAAAATCCCAGTAAACAGCCTGCAACATTTTAAGTATTTTCTTTACCTACAGCAGTTTCTATATAGACACCATTCATTTTCTCAACCTTCAAAAGAAAACCAAGAAATGACAATTGAGAAAGTTGAAGTTCCTACTCATTCATTGTATAGTGGTAAAACAATTCAAAGTTCACAGTATAGGATTCACAATTATCAGCATTGTGCTACAAAAAGAAATCATCAAACGATGTGATAAAATAATAGGCATATTCCAAGTATCCTAAGGCCAATGTGGCTTCAAAGAGAAAAAGTGGCTATAGCAAAGAAGTTAAGATTTTCCGATAGAAGAATACATGCCAGCATGAAATATTAATGATGAAAAGAAAAAAAAATATTACCTTCTTTATTTCAACTTTTGGAGGAGGTTCTTTGTAGAAACTTGGCATTGGTGTAGCTTTAAAAGTCAAGCTCTTCCTTAACTGCTTGATTTCAGCTTCCTGATTCTCCTGCGACGCAACAAACCTAAAAGTTAGGCGAGATAGAACGAATTGATGCAGAAAACTTGGAAAACGTAATAACTACTTGATAGAGTAGAAAAATATTTTCATTCAAGTAATAGTTATGAAGTCATCGCCAAGACCTTTGATTTTTCCTGAAGGTTATTCTTTTCAAGTTCCTTAGCATGGATCTTCTCTTCTATCTTTGAAAGAAACTGGAGGAAAAGTTCATGAATAATCATTTATAAAATGAATGTAATTAAGGCTACCGGAAAGTAACAGATTGATGCATATTCCCAACCTCCTTTCGCTTTTCAGCACGTTCCTCCAGCCTAAAGGTGAATCCTGACCCACTGCTCCTCCTAGTGCTACGAGAAGTGGCACTGAATATAATCATGACCAAAAATCGGACATCAATAAAAAGAGAGTGATTCATAAAATTGTTTGCATAGCAAAAGGAAGTTAAAAGTAATGACGGTACGAAGTAGTGGAATGAGCATCATCATCCTCTTTACTCAGCGCTGCAGCTGTTATTGGCTTGGAATCAGCTGATCTGCAAACATACAGGATTTGCTCACACTATAAATAAATAAGCAGAATTAAACTTTCGAGTTAGATATAATCATACAGGAACAAAGAGATCTATTCCGCATTCAAATTTTGAGCAAATTTACCATGAATATAAATGCATTATAAGTATACAACCTAAGTAGAAGAGGTTAAGCAGCGTGCATCTGAGTGATGATAAGGTAACCAAGACTTACTCAGACGATGAAGAGGGCTTAGCATCCACATTACCAGGACCAGATTTCGCAGGCTGATAAGCAAACACAAAGACGAAACCAAAAGAGCCATTTAGAAAACCAAAAAGTGGAAAGGAAAATAGAAACTGATGATAACACCAATTTTATACCACAGCTTGCTTATTGCTAGGCAAAGATGCTAAAGTAGTCCTTCTAGAAGTAGCTCCAATGCCATTCGCGTTCTTTGAGTTGACATGGATGGATCCCCGCCTGTTGGGAAGACTCAAACGAGACAATGAAAGAACTGATCCATTAGAAGAAGAGCCATGAGCTTTTGAGCTTTTCTCCTGGGCATGTTTGGGATCAGCTTTCTCCTTATACCCATCAATGCTCTTCACAACAGCTTCGCCATGGACTCTTCTAGCAGGAAATGAAAGACTCTGGGACAGCACAGACCTCTGATTTCGAGTAACCGGAACAGCACTTATCAGATTAGGTTTATCCTTTGTCACCTTAATGTTCTTTGCATTTCCATAACTCGGAAATAAAGGGAACATATAAGCTATAAAAATTACATAAACATCAATAGAACAGCTTGAATGGATGAAACATGGTACCTTTAAGGTTTTTGAAATTCGACTCTTGGAGACATTTGCAGGAGCTTTACTTGCCTTGCCTTCAGATTTTGTTCCCTGCTGCTTTGGATCTTCCTTCAAATTTGAAGCCTCTTCACCATTAATGTAAGCATTGGGTTCCACTTTCTTTTCGTCTGCAGCAGATTCTTCAACATCTGCTTTTCCACTTACAATTATCTCTTCCTCCATTGTTATCCCGTTTTCAGACTCCATTCTACAGTTATGGTAGAAAATTTCCTGCTAAAATTACAAGTCAAGGTCATCAGCATGGACTTAAATCCTCAAAAAAACCCTTCTGTTTTTCTGCAAAAACTCAACAAAATCAATGACATTTCTAAATTAGACTACGAGACTAGAGAATTCAAGCAAGATCTAGCTTTAATGACCGGTTTTCTAAACTGAATCTAAATGACATATATGTTCCCTTCTCACACTCTTTCCTCAAAAAACACGATCTAGTTAAAATATAACCAAAACACGGAATGAGAATCTCTCACCAATTGAGCAAAGATCCAGCTGAAATTATACAATTAAACTCTCAGCCCAAAAAAACGAAAACACAACACTGACATAAAATATTAAACCTTTACAAAAATAACCAGACAAAATTCACATAAACTCGAAAAGACGAGAAACCAATGATTATTATTAATTTTCATAAAGAACTTACCTTTCTTTCAAGAGTTTAGACTCAAAGGGCTGAAATGCAGAGCTTGGGAAAAAAAGCACTGAATTTGAAAACAAGTGAACAACAAGAGAAACGAAGAAGAAAAAGTAACTTCGAAAGATAAACAAAGAAGTGACAAATCCAGAAACTAAAAGCTATAAATCCAAACAGGGGTTTCGATTGAGAGGCTTAACGAAGGAGGGTGGCATTCATAATGTCTAGAGAGAGAGAGAGAGAGAGAGAGAGACTGTGTTCTGTGTGTATATTTTGGGTTTAAAGGTTTTGAGTTTTTCAATGAATTGGATAGGAAGGTTGATGGAATGGATAGCCAAATGACTGAATTGCCACCAATATGAGGATATTTGGGGTTCAAGTTTTTAACTTTATCGAATTATGAATCATAATGGAGGGAATGAAATCAAAAAGAATTTTTCAGCATTACTGAATTCCATAAAATAATGTGTTTGTTTCGGCAATTGGGTTAATGTTGCCTCAATTATTGTCCAAATTCGGGATAACAATTCACCTGCAAATTCTCTTTCCTTGCTTATTCATTCATAATACAAATTAATTTAAAGATGATGACGGAAAACATAGTTTCCCGTCAATGATTCAAGTAGTAAATATTTGATATCGTTTAAATAAATTTCGAATTCGAATTTTTATGTACGTAAAAATTTCCTATTAAAAAATTAACCTACTAAAATTAGATTTTCTACCCGGATCGATCCGACTTAATCAAAGCAAAACATTTAGAATAAAAAACATGAGTTTCACTTGTTAACTTCACCGGAGCTTTACTATCCCTTCGATTTGTTAGATAATTTTAAAATTTTAAATATTCGGTTTATAAAATATAAAATTGCTTTAAAATAAAATCTTATTATATTATGTTATTCGTTACTCATGTTGTAGTTTTTGATACTCGAACTCGAAATCTTTAAGAATAACACATATTTCTTTAACCACTGATATAATTTGATCCGGACTATGTTTACGATTTTTTAAAATGAAAAAAAATCTAATAATAAGAAATAAAAAAATGATTTAATGAAGGTTTGACATTAACATTGGAAGCATGGCGTAAGAAAATGACAAGTCGAGAAGGATTGTGGAAGGTTGAAGCAAAAATGTAGCATGTGGAATGGTACAATCAATGACTGGTCCAATCTCCACTTGATTTAAATATTAAATATGTATTTATAAATTTGATAGTAAAATTATAAAGATATTATTATTATTAAATATGTATTTATAGGAAGTGCAAATGGAAAAAGAACCAAATGAGTATTTGGTAATGGGTTGAGGGTAATGAAGTAACTGAGCAACCAAAGCTTGGATGGTAGAATCCCATCTTAATTAAGTTGGCATTGATATCCCTAAATGTGTCCTTAATTACTTCATTAAGCAGAGGCATTCAGGTCCAATTGTAAACAAAAAGTTGATTGCTTAAAAAACTCATTTCACAACCAACCTAATAATTGACCCAAACAATGCACTGTCGGACAACATGGAAGTTCCGAACATTACCCCAATTTCAGCAATCATAAATCAAAATTGGGTTAAGTTTAAATAACAAGAGGTTAAACTACGTATCTAGTCACTCACCTATTCTTGTGGTTTTGTTTCGGTCACTATCGTTAAAAAAATAAACAAAATTACTTTATGGTGAGATGCCGAAATTTGTTAAATTTTTAACGACAGACGATCAAAATGAAATAAAAGTATAACGTTGGTATGATTTTGAAAAGAGTACAGTTGGGAAAGCAAAATAGAACTTTAGGAATAAATGGCTGACTAAATTCGTAGTTTACCCTAATAAGATTTAAATATTAAAATATTATCTAATTGGATAATAATAATAATAATTAAAATCTCGAGGATTTATAATGTAAGGAATGATTTAGGATGGGTCCAACCATAAAAGAGATGGGGTCACTCACAGCCCACAACCATCTGAAAGATGACGTGGCGAAAATAGAGCAACATGATTGGTCTCACGTTGTTTACAGCTGTCACGATTCGTTTTGGAGAGCCTCTTTCAGCTTTATTTTAAAGGCAACTTGAACCGTTAGATTAAAAGATGGAGGTGGGTCCAAAGCACAAGGTAAATTTTATTAAGAAAATGTGTGGGATTTTGCGTTGCAATCGCAGCTGGAAGAGCTTAGCCTTCAAATGTCATTTTCAATTTTTTTTAATTTATTGGGCACTATGCATTTGGCAATTTGCATGTGAACATTTTGTTGGAAAATTAACTTTTTTATTATCTTTATGAGAATCCGATGTAATTTTGCGGTCAATAAATTAACTTATAAGTATGGATACGTAGAATATAAATAACGATACTTGATATTTTTAAATTAATTTAAAATTAAACTTTCATACAAATATCAAACATTATATCATAAGTTTTGATATTTTAAAATTAAAATTTCATAAAGTATCAAATATCAAAACATAAATTCCAATATTTGTTATTTTGATTTCTTTTTTGAAATTCAAGTTTCATACAAGTAAAAAGGTTTATAATTGAAAATGTTTTTTTGTATTCAAGTTTAACTCAATAAACGCATGAATTTGTTATCACTTAATATAAATATTTTGATCGTAACATTTACATTTTAAGTTGCTATGTAATAATCGAAAATGTTATCGCACGTTATAATATTTGTTTCTCTCAACTTATTTTATAATTTTCGGTATTTTATTGTATCTAATTTACAAACTCCGATTACGTTTTTAAGACACAACTAAATTTAACATAACTTGTAGCATTTTTTCGCTTCCTACCTAATTTGTTGCTGTTGCTATTTTGTTGGACTCATTTTAGGAATTTCGGTAACATTTTCTGGCGAAACTAGATTTGTTAAGACGATTTATAATATTTTTCGCTTCCAATCAAATTTCTTATCCAATAACATTTTTTGAGCAACCAGATTTGCAACCTAATTTGTTATTGTCAATATTTTGTTGACCCATATTTAGGAACTTCAATAATATTTTCGACACAACCAGATTTGTTATTACAACCTATAACAATTCTAGCTTCCAACCTAATTTGTTACCCTTGATGTTTTGCTGGACCCAGATTTAAAACAACAGAAATATTTTCGAGTGCAACCATTTTTGTTATCATAGCATATAACATTTTCGGCTGCAGATTATAATATTTTGTGTTTTGTTTTCTATTAACCAGTAATCGTTTAAACCGATGACGTAGTTTATTAACCTTATTTTAAGGGTCACACAACAAAATCACCCAAAGAATCTAAAAGCCTTCTTGCTGCTACCATCTATCCCCATCCATAGCTAGCTGAAACCACCATCTACAACCCTTTCTATCCGGTGAAAAATAAGTGTCGTTCCTATTACCAATCACATCTCCGGCAAAACAACAGCTCCTCTGACCTACCCGTAATCAAAACAAGTCATCGCCTGTCGCCGTTTCTTCTCATTCCCTTCGAAAACCAAACAGCTTTCGCTAAGCCATTGACGGCTCAAAAACCTTGGGTTGTTTCTCGTTAAGGTTGTTAAAGGGAAACATGGAAGATTCATTGATAAATTTTCAACCAAAATGAGTGCTTGAACTAGTCCAACCAAACACAAAAACCAATCCATTTCAACATATAAAATGTGAAGGCCACAAATTTATTTCTCTGAAATGCACAACAAACACCATGACCCAAGTGCACACTACTGTCACAAAAATACCATTCCACTTCTTTATGCATACATTACTTTTATCCACATTGAAGAAAACATGACGAGGCTAGCTCTTACAAAAAAAAAAAAGAACACTTCAAACATCTTTAGCTAAACCTGACAAATCAAAATGCCCGGATTCGTCTCGTTTAGGAGAAGCTTTCTTCTGAGGATGACCTCCAACGGGTATTCCTCACCTTGGAGATGGTAGTGATGAAGATCCCCTGCCATAAAAGTCTCCAAAAGCATCGAAGAAACTGTTTCTCATCTCCTCAGCAACATCAAAGAAACGATTAACCCCGCCAAAGAACTCACGTTCTATTGCCTCCAAGTCACTGCATAGCCCAGGAAATTCAAATGCGCCTTCCCCATGTGATCCTGATGAGTAATTCCCTTTTAACATTTGCTCTGTGAAGTCCTCCTCGGTATACTCTTTGGTGGACTGCACTACTTCGACGGGCCTAGTTCAAAGATACACAGAAATGTACTAAGAAATCACACACTATGCTTAAAGCTAAAGAGTGGATGAAAAAAAGTTGCAGTGAACTTTATAAATTCCTGTATCTAATTCCAAACATAAACGACAAAATAAACCAGTCCAAAGAGCTATTATCCATTTGCACCGAAGTTCTGCTGCAGTCTTCACAGAGAACAATTAAGTTTTGCAAATAATACAAAATCATTCCGTGAATCATGTAAGAACATGAGAAGGGGAAAAAACATAGTGCACACAAACTAATAGCATATATGGTGATACAGGAACTTATTAAATTATTTTATATTATTTTTCTATTTCAGCAATATTTGTCAATTAAATGGATGACTAAGGCAATCTAGAACTACAATTATAAGATATCTTAGGGTTTAAATTTAAGGCTAGGATTAACACTTAATTTGTAAACCTACAATAAATAAGCAGTAATATATTTACAGCCACAACAATTTTTAAATATGTTCTTTGGATTAATAAAGAAACTATAAATTTTTATTGTTTCTAGTGTTTTCCCTCAAAACCATATCATATTGTCATCAATAAACAAGTTAAATAAGCCGATAAAGGAATCACACACACATATATATATGTATTTTGTCTATCTTGAAGCATCACTAATTTGGTGGTGGAGACACATATGCAGTTACCACTAATGTCAATTAAGCTAGGTTCAATTTTATTCCATTTTCTAGTGACAAAAACAGCACAAGCTGATTGACATAAAAATATACCGATAGTTTAACATATCCTTTGCAATCATAATATCATTAAAATTTCTTCAAAACTTCAGCAACATTGCATACAATTAAAATTTCATCAGTTTTATTGCTGCATTTCTTACCAATTTTTATATGGATGATAAAGCATCAAATCTCTTAGATAGTTTGTTAGACCAAATTTAGCTAGAATTTTCACAATCTCAAAGCCGAAGTTCAAATAACAAACATGAAAAAAGAAACAAAGTTCTAAAAAAAAGCTACAAAAACAATTTTTACACAGTTCCATGAGTTCAAACAAAAATTAATCTCTCAAAAAGAGGCTCCACATACACAAATGTTATAATCTATAAACAAGCCACCATTCTCTCTAGGCCAACAAAATTAAAATGAAATTGAAACAAAAATATTTTCAATACATAAACATGAACTTCAAAATTTAGATTTGAATTTCATTTGCTCAAAGAAATGTACAATGTGCATATCAGGTAAAATTAGCTAAATTCAATATTATTATATATTTTGGCACTATAAGAACATGCATCTCAAATACAAAAATATCTATAAAAACTTTAAATCCGTCACTAAATAGGTAAGCTTGTAACAAGCTCATGATTCGTTAATGTTCTATTTATAATTATCGCACAGAAATACTATTTTTAAAAGAGAAAATAACCTCAGTGACCGAAAATGCCTTATAATATACGATTTTAACCAACTTTTTTTGGATTTGCCAAAATGACCAACTAAATCGCAATGCGATCGATAATTCTCAACGCGATCTCCGGTATCGCAAATCAGTTTCCAGATTCGCAACGCGATTCTGACTATCGCATTGCGATTTTTTAAATTTGCGTTGCGATTTTCCGACTATCGCAATGCGAATATGTAAATCGCAATGCGATTATGACTATCGCAACGCGATTCAGACTATCGCAACGAGATTCTGACTATCGCAACGCGATGCTGACTATCGCAACGCGATGCTGACTATCGCAATACGATTTTCAAAGCGCCATTATTATCGCAACGCGTATTTTTTTTTCAAATTCCAAACACGAATATTAATATATCGGAACACTGAACCGTCCACAGTATATCCCGTAATCACAACTCATAACCTAAAACCCTAAATCACAACTGAATCCCATCTCCATCTCTCACTCTCTAAGGCGACATCCGTCCCCATCTCCGACGAAATCAGTCCCCATCTCCGGCGAAATCCGTCTATCTCCATCTCTCAGAGCCACTCTCACAATCATTCACGGTCAGAAATGGAAAATCAACCAAATCAACCACCGAGTGTTAGTTTTTTTTTAATTATTTTTATTTTGAAAATTTTGCATTATTATTAGGTTTTTCATATTGAAATTGATGATAAGTTTACTGGTAATTTCAATAATAGATTAACCATTTCATTTAGATTGCTTATTAAATTCATTCGATTGCTGCCAATACTGCTAAACTGTTTAGTCTTTAAACCCTGTGAATTTAGTATTTGTCTTTGTTTTGTCTTTTGGTTGAAGTAATGCAATCCATTCAAGTTTCAATTTTAGTATTTGAAACCGAGAATCGCAACGCGAAATGAAAATCGCAACGACAGAATCGCAATGCGATTTTAGTTTCGCGTTGCGATTTTCATTTCGCGTTGCGATAGTCAAATTCGCGTTGCGATAGTCATTTTCGTGTTGCGATTTTCATTTTTGTGTTGCGATTTTAAGTTTCAGAAACTATTCTTCTTCTGCAAATTGAAACTTGAATGAATTGCATTATTTCAACAAAAAACAAAGACAAATACTAAATTCACAGTGTTGCAAATTTAAGTTTGAAGAATAAACTACTACTATTTATGTTTATTGTTCTTGGTATATCTTCACAGTGTAGTTTTTGGTATATCTAACATGGTATGTTTATTGTTTTTGTAGAACTTTTATTCGGTTCAATTGACCTTAAGAAATAAAGTAAGCCTGGCCAAAACAATTGTGTTGAAGCTTTCACCTGCACAAAGAAAAATATTTGAGGATACTTGCTTCGGGCCATGGCTGAAAGTACAACATATGGGTGGAGATGCTATGTTGACCCATATGTTTCTTCAAACCATGACTAGCGATCTACCAGAGACTATACAACGTCGTGATGAAGAGATATGGTTTGATTTTCCACCGGCGTATACATGTTTTGGGCGGGAGGAGTTTTGCTTAATCACCGGTCTACGCTTCGGACACGATGATGTAGGTCGGTACACTAGACATATTACCCGCCTATCATGGTTATTCCGGGTTTTTCCTAAGCTGTCAATAGAGAAGCCGAATTTACACGTGGAAGACTTGACGAGATTATTGAATAAGAAAGATGGTTTTACTCGGATGGATGACGTCGATGTTGTCCGAGTATGACTTCTAATACTTTTGCATGCCGGCTTTTTAGGCAGAGAGGCCAGACAACCAATTCCTAATGATCTAATTAAATTGGTAGAGGACCTAAATGCATGGAACCTGTTTCCGTGGGGTTCGTATCTATGGAAAGCTACATGAAATAAGTTGTCGTCTGCCTTTAATGATCGAAAACGTTTGTGTGGCGATGGTTCCAAATACACTTTGTCAGGCTTTATTTGGGCCTTTAAGGTAAGAATTTTTATATAATGTTTCCAAAATTATAATTAATTATTTAACAATTACTAATGTTTGTTATTATATTGTTTGTAGATTTGGATATTTGAGGCCTTTCCCGCCATGCAGACATATGCATTAAAAACTTCTAATGATATTCCTAGGGCTATTTCCTGGAAGAGGAAACGGACCTTGCAGCAATGGGAAGATTTACTACCGTATACGACAATAAATAATGTAAGTTAACACAAATACTACCATATGTTTATAAACAAGTTATTACTAGTACACGTTTAACTTTGTTTGAGCTTTTATATTGTTAGGAGGCCAACACTCCATTACAGAGGCTGACACCCACGGAAGCTGAGCTTGCCACTGATTGGTGGCAAGCTAGTAAGCGTTTTTTTGATGGCACGGATGATGAACAACCTCCACTTTGAGAGCCATCACCTCACCTAGAGCCATCACCCGATCGACCAGACTATACACCTCCACAACGAGAGCCATCACCTATTTTGTCACATCATCGAGCCTCTTCTCCACCATCACCTCATGATAGGCGACCGGAAAATATGCCACGACGTTTATCTCCCTGTTCTCCACCTCCACGGGATGAGTTAGGGGAGTTATGTGCTGAGGTCAATGCCTTGCGTGAGGAGGTCGGTACTTTACGCGATGACAATGGTGCATGCCGTGTTGAGGTGTCTACTTTACGTGGTGAGGTAGCCGCTCTACGTGAGATGGTAGCATCGTTGCAGAATGAGGTTCATACTCTACGCAACGAGGTAAGTTTAATATTTTTCATATTTAACTTGATGATAAATTTACTCGTAATTTCACTTAGATTAACCATTTCACTTAGATTAACCATTTCACTTAGATTGCTTAGTAAATTCATTCTGTTGCTGCCAATACTGCTAAACTGTTTATTCTTTAACCCTGTGAAGTTAGTATTTGTTTTTGGTTGTCTTTTGGTTGAAGTAATGCAATCCATTCAAGTTTCAATTTGCAGAAGAAGAATAGTTTACTTTCGCAACGCGAAAATGACTATCGCAACAAAAGAATCGCAATGCGAAATGAAAATCTCATTGCGATTCTCTCGTTGCGAAAGTAAACTATTTATTCTTCTGCAAATTGAAACTTGAATGGATTGCTTAGTAAATTCATTCGGTTGCTGTCAATACTGCTAAATTGTTTATTCTTTAACCCTGTGAAGTTAGTATTTGTTTTGGTTATCTTTTGGTTGAAGTAATGCAATCCATTCAAGTTTCAATTTGCATAAGAAGAATAGTTTACTTTTGCAACGCGAAAATGACTATCGCAACGAGAGAATCGCAATGCGAAATTAAAATCGCATTGCGATTCTCTCGTTACGATAGTCAAATTCGCGTTGCGATAGTCATTCGTGTTGCGATTTTAAGTTTCAGATTCTATTCTTCTTCTGCAAATTGAAACTTGAATGAATTGCATTACTTCAACCAAAAGACAAAGACAAATACTAACTTCACAGTGTTGAAAATTTAAGTTTCAAGAATAAACTACTACTCTTTATGTTGTCATTGAACCTGCACTAAACCTATATGTTGTCCTTTTAAATGCTTATATAAGTGATTACTTCTGGAATGTTATATGATGCATTTTGTGAACAATGATAGAATAATGACTTGGGTAAATACCGTGCAAGTTTGAAATATATTTGTCTTTGTTTTCACTGTTTAATATCATGTCTGTTTATTTACTGATTTATGTATTAATTTATTTTTAGCGGCCCGCTAAGGTGGATGCCCTACGTTGGGTTTTTTTCTTGCAAGACGGAGTTCACGCATCAGACGGCGTACATGTTCCATTACGTCTCCGTTCACCCCAATAATGCGAAGAATCCGTAAGAAAAAGCCCGACTCACCTGTCATCGTTCAAGAGGCCTCCCCTATCATTCAAGAGGCCCCTATCATCCCTCAAGAGTCCCCTCCCACCGTTCAAAAGGCCACTGTAATCCTTGAAGAGGTCCCTCCCAACATTTTAGAGCCCGATTCACAGGGTGTAATATATCGAATTATTGAGAAACCCCCTCACGTGTCGGACATGATGGATGACTGTTGGCTTTCGTATAAGTTGCCGGCCAGTACCATTCCGACAGATGAAGTGGAGAGGAAACAACTACCGGAAACAACTACCGGAAACAATTCTGGATAATACCCTTTGGGCTAAGACCGCAGTTGATTTTTATCTACATGAACGGAGCCAAGGGTTTTACGCTGATATATACAAACTCAACGATGATATGCATTTGTTGATTGAACGGTCTTGGTGGGGTGTGTTATTAGGGGTTGAAGACAATGACTATTTCGATGGGGGGTAAGTCTTATATTTCTTCTTATATTTCATTTTGATTAATTTTTTTTAAATTTATGTAATTCACTAATATATGTCTTTTTTTGTAAAGCAGCATATTGATGCATGGGTGTCACGTCTTCTAATAATAAGGAAATTGAAGAAAAAAAATACGCGATATACAATTATGCCGACGTCTTTTCACGTAGTTCACTTGAAGAATCAACGACACGTGTAATACCCCAAAATTTGACCAGTGACTAAAATATAAGTTTTGAAAGTTTAGTGGCTAAAGTATAAACTTTGAAAAGTGTAGGGACTGAAGGTTGTAATTTAAAAGTTATATATTTTATGCCTGTAAATGAAAAATTTGGATTAAAACAGAGATTTTAGTGGGATCATATTTTTGGTACGAGAATTTTGATAAAAGATATAAAG